TGGGTTATAGGGTAGGATGGGTAGGGTGTGTGGGGGTTGGTGGGATGGAGAATAGGGCGGGGAAGGTTGAAGAAGAGTTTTGGAAAATGTTTTCTCTTCTTTTGATAGGGAAAACATTAATGAGTTCATGAGCAGGGGCGGCCCTTCCATAAAGCAAATAAAACAATCGCTTTAGGCCCCATATTTGTGGGGGCCCCATTTTTTGTCACACCTAATAAAATATTTATAAGTTTAAAAAAGAGTTTTGTAAAGTGAATTTTTTTTATTTCTTTCTAATAAATATAGAGAAGAAGGATTTGCAACTGCTATAATTTCTACCAAGAAAATTACACCTGAAATGAATATCGAACCCGAATTTTATAAGAAACGTGTGATATATAGGAAGTAACAATTTGATGCGAAGTTGATAATGAAAGTCCAAAATCTTTCGAAGAGTCCTTTAGAGTTGATTACTTTTATACATAATAGACAAGACTATTTTTTCACATCAAAATAAATTTGAACAATTCGAAGCATATGAAAATATTTTTGGTTTTCTATTTAGCAGTAAAAACTAAGATCACTAGATGTTGGAAATTTGAAAAAATATTGCTTAATCTTGAATGTTCCTTAAAGCATAATAATCAATTTGATATTGATGGTTTAGATTTATTTTCTGAATTAAAAATATTAAGGAAAATATTACAATTAGAAGATAATAGTTTAATTATACACTTAATCAAATAAAAAGAATTAATTCTTTTCCAAATGCCTAAATTGCTTATGAAATAATGTTCATAACTCAAGTTACCATTGCTTCAGCGGAAAGAAGTTTTCAAACTTAAAATTGATAAAATCTTATTTAAGAACGACACTGTCACAAGAAAGGTTAGGTGGATGCCCTATATTGTCAATTGAGAAATACTAAGAAAATTAAATAATTATGTATCTAAATTAAGCTAAAAAAAAAATAGACATCAAATCAATTTAAAAAAAATTAAAAAATTAAGGCCCCTCGCAAAGTTTGGCTTTAGGCCATAAAATTCATCAGGCCGCCTCTGTTCATGAGGAAAAGGTTTTCCAAAATATTAAAGCTAACCAAACATGTGAAAATTAAAAAATATTTTCCGGCTTCATACCAAACACACCCTTAGTTCAAGTGAACATATTTATTCTCAGAATTTTCAATATTTTAACGCAAGAAAAAC